AGCACGGCGAGGGGGTCGGGGAGCCCTGGGTTACGGTAACAAGGCGGTAGTTGGGGGGCGTTTCACCAGGGCGGGACGCGAGGTTCCAGCCCGATGTTGAACTGGGACCCCCGAACCACGCGTCGCTGTCGTCTGCTGGAATTAGAGCAATTAATTTCTCTGGAGAGAAATAATGGGAGGAAAAACCTAATGCGTAGTTTCAGCTATGCCTGCTCCCAAGAAAGTGTTTGCCAGGGCGGAGCCCTGTACCCCAAAACACGGTGGTCATTGTACAAAAGGAATAACAGCCAGCAGTGCTCACTCTTCAAAGTGACCGGTTTATGGACAAATTACTTAAACTAGAGTCAAAAATGCTAAACTGACCAAAGTTATAATAATAATACTAATTTGCAATACCGCACAATTGTTTCGATTTGGCCAATCACCGGGGTTACAGGGGTAACAGTTCCCAGGAGATTAACGAAATGGAGGAATTCGTGGAAGGAAATGAACGGGGGGAGGAAGGCAAAGGTATACACAGCCGAGGGAGTGGCAGGACAAACAGAAAGACTTGGTTGACGTAAAGAAACAATGGGCACGTTAACGAGAACGGTGGGTGTATAAGGTTAAAAAAAGGAAAGAATTTGTTAGCTGAACACAGACAATGTGGCCTGTGACGTGTGGTAGGGAAGGCAAGCGGCAGCCCTGCCCCACGCTCCGGTGTGCAGGTGCTCTGAGGGAAGTGGAGGCAAACTTCAGCGAGCCCACGCGATCAATCCGAGCGGGATCCTTCAGGCTGACAACAGGCAAAAAATGCACTGTGGCCTTTGCTAAATCAAGGATTTTAGATCAGCGAGGGATGTGTTGTAAGGAGTGGTGACAAGCACCTTCACAGCACTGGTTTGGTTCAGATGCAAACCTGCATTTTTCAGCATAAAACACCTGTTACATACCTTTAGGTTTTTGAATGGTGACGCTCGTACGTTCCAGCTCACAGCTTTCATATCGGAGAGACTTTTCCTGTAGTCCTGCACTTCAGATACAACCCATTTTCAACAGCCAGTCACACTTAGCCTAAAGAACGTTTTTAGTAATAACCACCCCAGAACATACTCTAAAGTGTTTTTTACAACTTTTAGGAATACTATGTTGTAGGGACAAAAGTTGAAAAAGCTAAAACAGAAGGAAAAAAATTGCATAATGAGCTCAACTGCCATTTGAATTAGTTATTCTCCTGAGCATATTACTGTATGTTCATGAGTGAACAGCTGTGCTTTTAATACCTGATAGTAAAATAAGTATTTAAGATACATTGACAGCATATCAAGGAAAATTAGAGAATTTAAATCTACAACTAACATTCAGCTAGTACACTGACACACCGTTTTCAGGATTCTGGGTCACTGGTTTGAACCTCAATCGAGTTATTTGTTCAGTGAAAGTTGTTATTGGATGTGCGCCACAAACAGGATTCATACACCAGACTCCTCAGAACTGTTTAGAACTCAAAGATCCCAGCCCGTATTACAGATTAGCATGGAAGAATATGAAGGTATTAATAAAGACTCAGATGTGTATTTTAAAAAAATCTACAAGAAAAATTTTACCTAAGAAACCCACTGAGCCTTTCAAAATTATTTTTTTCTCTATGGGTGCCTGTTCATATAACATCTCAAGAGACTGCATCCTGTGGAAAACAATCCTAAAGACCTTTTGGCTGTGAATGTAAGAAGTTCAACGCTACATAATTCAACAGAATAAATATTGACTCTGTCCACACAGGAAAATCAGCCTGAGTATGCGGATCAGGATGAATCGTATTGACTCGGGCACTGTCAGACACAAACCGGAGAAAGCTGACAGTTTGCAGGCAGTGGTACAAGGATCTCTTGCAGGCCAGTGCCAGCTGGGACAGACCTCTGAAGTCAAAGGTAAGAATTTCACCCTGTATTATCAGCAAACTAAATCCTCAAGAAAATATCTTGTTCAAAGCAGCACTGCTGCCAAAAACTTAATCTACTTCCAGCTACTTATATAGCCCTGGAATGCAACTGGCTGTTCATAGCAACAGAAAACACCTTAAAACATTTCTCCTACCTATAGGATACATACAAGTAAAATGGGATAAGACTCCTTTTACTCTGCACAAGATTGCCTTTCCAAATTACAGCAGTTACGTAATACGCTATCAGACTCACTGTCATTTCAAAAACAGGAAACAGATTAGCATGAAGAAGTGGTTTGTCCAAAATCATTTAGTAAATCAGCAAGAGATAACTAGAAGCAACATCCTGACCTCTTGAATACCTGTCCAAACAATGCAGCATTTTTTCCCTCTATCCGCTAGCTACCCCATCACCTGCTTTTAAAAATAATGCTTTTGTTTTCAGATTAAAATCAAAGGTCCTGGCAGCTCTAGATCTCTCAATTTTAGCACAACATGAATTCTTAAGTATTCTGAGCAAGAAATGGCAATGCAGCTGGTATTACTTATGTATTTCTTGTTATTCCTATTTCTTTCAACAGAGTGTGGATGAAAATTACTTGTGTTTCAGGATATTACTGACCCAGACTTAATGGCTTGTCACCTGACAAAAGTTCCTTCCCATCTTTTCTGGGACAACAGACACAGGCCAAAATTTACTGTGAAGCTTCCCACAAAAACCCACAACAAGGGATTCTCTTGCTCAGCCATCAGCCTATAAGCACAGGAGGAAAATATTTTTACCTTTTTTTGCCCTCCCTGGCTTTTTTCCATGTAAGAAATTCCTGGACATCGTGCCGTCTTCCCTCCCCACATGGGCACCGAGCTCTGCAATGAGTGCAGACAGTGGTTTTCTTCATCTCTGCCTCAGAGCTCCCTGCAAACGAAGCTTTCTAGCTGTTTGGGTAGCACGGGAGTCAGTACTGTGAATAGCAGCGATGTCATTAGGGCAGAAAGATGGGAAGATTGTCCGGATGTTGCACCAAGCCTTAAGTGCTGCAAGATTGGAAAGCCTGTCTCTCCCCAGCTGGAAGTTGTTCCCTTAGCCACTGCTTCAGAGATTTATTTTGCTTCCACCTCCTCTCCTGCCTTTACGTTTTAATACCTACACCTCGCTGCCAAGAGGGAAGACAGCACACAAGTTATCCTGCAGAGTTCAAGAACACTCACACAGGTGACTACAGCTCCACTCTACCTACCGAAAGGGGAAGTTGCAAACTTGCATCAAGAAAGATCGTCAGTTTGGGAAAATTGCTGACTACTTCCAGTATGAAGAGTTGACTGTCTGCTTTTAATGTGACATTGTCTTCTGTTTTACCGCCGCACAAGGCAAAGATATCCTCTTCCTGCTAATGATAAAAAACTGATGCATCAGAAAGCCAACCTTCATGTTAACTCTAACGATGCAATTAACTTCAATAGTATTCATTGACATGATATAGAATTCCATGAAGAGAGACATATGGCTTTAGTTACCAATGTTTTGAATAGATGCATCACTTTTCCAATTTCACCCTTTCACAAATTAAGCCTGTACACTCTGTATTATCTACAGCCATCGTAATCTAGAAATATCATTCTATCATATTGCAAAAACATGAGGTTGCACATCCACGCACGCAATCCCTTTGAAGATTCAGGCCAAGGCAGGGCTAAAACATTCCAATACTGATGTTCTATCTTTGCTAAACATTCAAATTCAGAAACAACTAGAATTTAAGTAGCTAAATGAAACTGCTAAGAAGTTAGTGGGAAAAAAACACTAGGCAACACAGTTCTGACAGCTGGATGCTATTTCTGTGAAGAGGGGACATAGAGCGGATATGTCAGGTGGCAAAGGATGGCAAGGAGGCCCAGGTAAACCAAAGAAACTGCTAAGTCCAATACTGAGGTCTAACACAGCAGCTTTAAGGTGTTAAGCAGAAGGGTTGGTATTCTCTGTCACATCAAGTCTCCTGGCCTGAAGTCCACTGTGCTGAAGCAGAGTGCTAGAGAATTCCACTTAAAGTCAACCTGGTATGTCAGTTCCTTCATTGAGCCGTTATTGCAATTTTATTCCTTGCCAATACTTCAGAGTGACAGAACAGACTTAACACTGATCCCCAGTACGTTCTTCCCATACAGCTGCTACTTAAGATGCTCCAGATCACTTGCACTGGAAATGTGACCGTCAAGCGGCCAATTCATCTGCTAGACGCGAGATCATCTCTTCAGTCTTTTGAGTGGCAACCTGCAAATGCAGGAGAAACTTCTACAGGGCAGTTCGAGCTGCACAGCATAGGAAGTTAGAGAAAAACAGTGAACAGAGGATATCAGATTATTCAAGACGAATAGAAATCGTTTTCAGTTTCATGATAAAGAGTTAGATGGACCGTACAGAAGTTGGAGTGGGGAGAGGGCTGAAAGCAGCACAGAGGCAAAGTGTGCCCAAGATGGAAGCTTGACAGGGGACTTGAAAGGAAAAAAAAAGATGGACAGCCTGTAGAAGGTTTCAAAATTAATGAAAATATTACATTAATAACCCAACCCACGTCTCATTAAAATAGGCAAAGAGATTTGGGTCCACTTAGATGAGGATATTAAAACCAAACAAAACGATCAAAGATACAGGTAACCTCTGACCAAGCAGTCAATGCCTTGCCATAAAGGAGATGTTACGCCGACAAGAGTCCTATACGCCAGGTCAAACTAAAGATCTCTTAAGCCCTGTATGTTGACAGCAGCCCGTAGAGGGTGTTTACCTGTCTTCACAGCTGAATCTTAAGTATCTAAACATTTGGGCTCTGTAACCCTTGTGCAGGCAAAAATCCTTGGACAAGAGGAGCCTGAGTTTTCTTTGAAGCTGCCACAACTCCTACGGAAGCAAGTGACAGCTGGGATTAGCGTGCACTTCAGATAACCCCAAGATTCAGGCAACTTCTCTGAAAATTAACCCGCTCCTCTCAGACTACAATCGGAACACTTTGTATTGTTCGCATTACATTTACACCTTGATTTACAGCTCACAGCACCCTTTTAAAAAATTAGGCCAGCAGTTCACACTTATGTACTTAAACTTTATTTCTTCATAATTACAGGCTATTGTTAGAATTTTTAAACAAAAGGGAAGTCTATAAATAGAGGCTAATCCCACCTGAACAAGGTTTGTTGTTTTTTTTTTAAAAAAAGTTAAAACTTCATAAAGTAATGCCATTTAGCTCACAGCAGTGGTTTGTTGGTAGTCTGAGTAAAAGTACTATAGTCAGAGTCAGTAACATGAAATGTAACATCAAATGACTCAAAACTTTAAATTCCATAAAGGAAAGCAGGAATATATATATAATATATACATATAATATTGTGTTGGTCCACTGAGTACACATTTTTAACAAAAGATAAGAAACTATGTAATCCAGTTAAGCATATGACTTGCAAGATTAGTGTACACTCATTACAAAGATGTATAGACAAGTTATAACTATTTAATACTTGCAAAATTTTAAGGTGTGGGTGTTGGTTTGTTTTTTTTTTTTGAGCAGGTGTTTAAATGCTCAATTCCCAGTGCAAAAGAAAAAACATCCCAGTCAGGTTACACATTTTTCCTGAAAAATTGAAAACTGCCCTCAAACTCGTGCAACAGCAGCATTGACAGGTAATGGGAAGAGCTTAAATATACTGAAGCCTGGCTGAGTTCTCCCCCTTTCCCTTCCCAGTGCTGTGTGTTGAAAACACTTCAATTTCCTCAATAGAAATCCCACAGGTTAAAAGTGCAAGAAAAAAACCCAATCTCTTGAAGTTTATGCTGCTGCCATCCAATTTTCTTAGACAGGGTAAAGATTATTCTTTCTGGAATTATTTAAATGAAACTTACTCTCCAGAACAGAGTCCTTTCAAGATGAACAATAAGTTATTTTCATTAACATTCTATCCATCCTACTTTGACTCAGTGACCATAAAGAAATCATTCCGTTTAAGGTGCAACTATCAGTTGGCATTCAATAAATTACATATACAGAAAACAACTGTGGTTAAACAAAAATAAACATCAGACTACCTGGTTTTTTCTTTCTATTCTCAATCCTATTTCAAATCAAACTTATTAACTTGCCAGTTCAGCTGCATATTTCACAGGCAAACGTGGCTGGAATAGCTGTGGGGTCTCATAATTTGACAGTCATCTTGGCCAACAGCAAACGCACACGAATCTTCCAACTTAACTGCTTTATAAAACAAAACAACAGGTCCGTCTTAAAACCTATGACCATGCAAAAAACATTAAAAGTTTCAGAAAGACAAACTCTTTCTGACTTGGACTCCATGAAGATTGTTATTTCAAATCCACAAGCAGAATCTCCAATGAAGACAACAATCTACCTGCTTACATATAAAATAAAGCACTCCACAACTCTGGCATTACTAAGATTGCTTTAGAAGGATAAAAGGTTTCAAATGACTAACTGCTTGATGGGAGACAGTCAGCCATGGCAGAATAATTGCTATGTTCACTTTATGCTCAGTTACCAACTGCTGGCAGATTACAGTCAAACGACAATCTCGCTATCTGCATTTTTTTTCTGCATTTGCTTACAGCTGGGAAAAGTACTTTATTCACCTGAAAACATGAGAGAAATTGAATGCTAAACTTGATAGTTATTCAAACCATAACCAAAAGGGTTGAATTTAGCAGAAACATTCACACCAACTTTCAAAAACTTAAAACCTTTCATAGTTTCTTGTATATATGTATTTTCTGATTAACATTTAAATAGGTTAGGTATTCAGGAAAAGGGACAAACAGTTGACATAAGACAAAAATCTTATTCTAAACTTCATGCCTCTGATATTTCAGATTTACTGAGTGCAATAGCCAGTTCCAAGTCTTCTTGCTCTTGCTGGTTTAGTCTTGCCAATCTTTCCTTCTCTTCTCTTTCACTTTCCCTCTTAGCCCATTCAATCATGTCTTCCTCAGTAGAATACTGCATTTTTAAAAGACAAAATAAATCAGATTAATACTACAATGATAAATAATACTGTCCAAGTCCTTGGTTTAAGGGACAATTACAGTCTTTCAAAATATTGTGTGTATGCTAGTCTTCAAGTATTACCTGTTTTTTTATTTTAATACACTATTAAGATTAGCTTAGTCTAAGGCTTAACTATTAAAGGTTTAACTATTAAGGACTACACCGAAGCCACCCAACTGATGTATTTTTAGGAAATATGCCATGTTTCAAAACTCAATTAGAATTAAGTTTCAAAAAAGTTACTGAGCAAAAAGTGCTATAATTTAAATTCAAACTATTTTGGATAAAAATCAGCCTATATAAGAAAAAAAAAGGAAATAAATCAGGAGACCATTTTGGAAAATACAGCCCTATCTGCACTATGGGATGTCCCAATTTACTCTACTTTCATTAAGGATGATTTTTTCCAGGTGACAATGACTGCAAAAATTAGCTGTGGAATGACTGGTTTTAGTTGTCTACATGAAAAAACACTTCTGCCAAGAAGCAACAAAATAATAAGGTAATCATACAGTTAGAAGCCTAGTAGTCATACAGAGAAAAGTCAGCGCGACAGAACAGAGAACAACCAAGATTCTTTCCATGTAGATTGATGCGAACAGAACGTGAAATAAATTTCTGTGGTACAATGATTATAAATCAGAGACAGTTCAGGGTATCATCTTAAATAGAATACAAAAGATTATGCTCAAGTTCGTTTCTAGCCAACATGCAGAAAAGCGAAGAGGTAGGTGTAGCCCATGACTTCATGAATGTTAAGTGTGAAAGTGTTAATCATGAGACACTCCAGTTTGGTTTGTGCTTTGAGCTGCTTCTTTGGGAAGTAAATGTAAAAAAGCTTGAGTTTTCTCCATAGTTCACTTAGTATTTTCAGTATTTGCAGCTGGAAAAGAATACTTTTTGCTTCCTAAAGGTAATGAACATTTTTCCCTTCTCCTCCACACTTCCCATTCTCTCCTCCCAGCTGGCTTCTCAGCCCCTCTAACTAGTAACAGCATTTCAGAAATTATCATGCTGCACAACACATCAACCAGTGCAAGTCAGTTTTGAGAGCCTGTCAATCCTCAGTGACTTCAATCAAGCACATAGTTTATTAGGCCTGAAATTAAAATGCAGTATGATCAAGATACTGTAAATGCAAATTGCATTTATCAGGTATCAAGCTTGAAAGTGAGAGGATGCCTTTCAAAATGCCTATCCGCAAAAGCTCAAAAGAAAAAAAAAATATATATATAGGCATGCACAAACCTTTAGATTTGCTTCTACTGCTTGAACACCACGACTTCTATGAAATGGATTCTGGTTACAAAGAGACACTTACTACTTTTTACTTCACTGTACCTAAGTCTGGACTTCACTAGCCATCCAAAACTCACCAGATTACATTTCATTAACATATACTGTTATGAGGCTGTTCAGCAATATTTCAGTACGTTGAAATTATAAGCAAACAGGTCAGTGACAGCTAAATTAAAATCACACCGATGGTTTTGGTTTTAATTGGACAGTTAACAGTATGCTTGTTGTAGATAATATAATTTAAATCTGCTGCATGCTCTGATAAAACAGATAATAATAAAGAATATAGATATTTAAAAAGTACTGTTTCCTAAAAGCTAGGAGGCCTCCATGAAAAAAATCCCCAAACCAATGCAATTTAAACATTAACTATAACCTTTTGCAGAATTTTAAGGACAGCCTCAGCTGTAAACGAAATGAGGATACCGTTTTAACTGGAAGCAATATCCCTTCTGTACATGGGATACGTTTTAATAGTTTAAATCAGACTGAAGACTTCAGTGTGAACAATTCAGAGCTGTCATTATACTGAAACAAATGTAAAAAGTGTTTACTCACAGTACTGAAGTTTGCAAAATTGTTGGGGTCAGCCTCTTTACTGATGCTGGTGGGAGCAAATGGATCACAGAATAGATCTGCTTCTCGTTCTTTGGGAATGTCTGGGGTGGGGAAGGGCTGAAATGGATCGCTCGGTTTAAAGGAATCTGAAGAGTCTATTTGATTGATAGGTCTTTTCCCTTAGATTAAAATGAATTCAAAATGAATTTAAGATAGCAGGTAATAACATGCCAAAAATAGTTTAAAAAAAAGAAAGAAAAACAAAAACCAAATTCAGAAGCTACTTGGAATGCAACCTCTTGTGGTAAACCAGTGGAATTGCAAGGACTTCAGAGGAAGGGTTGCAGTTTCAAAAATGTGGGTACGGTGCATAGTTTCTTAAGGGGTAATCTGGTAAGAAGGAACACATGTATGCTCATTATCCAAGAACACAGTTATGTACTAATTAACTACTTTGGGAAGAGAGTTTCTAACCGTTTTGAGACCCTATTCTTTCAGTATGTTTTTCTTCTGCTTATCAACTGTCCAGCAAGGCTCTTCTATTATTTGCTCGGCTCAAGTTAACACAATGTCAGAGACCAGAAAATACATTTGTAAGTCTTCAAAGCACCATGTCCTCTCACTATGCTAATACCTAGAATTCCTGTAGTTTTTGAACTAAGAGAATGAAGGAGTATGATAACAAGCAATCACAGGCTTATCTATTTTGTTAATCCTTGCCTAAGTAGCTGCCAATGTAAGAGTCAGGCAAAAGCCTCCCTTATCTTGTTCTTCTTTCAGCTTAACCCCAGTCAGCTTTCACCACCTTTGAGGATATCAACCCAAATACTTTCAAGAACAGTTGAGCTGACTTTCATCCCACCTCTCCCTCCATATGTTACTGCTTACAGAAGAGGGTTCCTTGTATTTTCCTGAATTCAACTAGTGGGTTCTGCAAGCGGTTGGACACTTACAATGGTCTTAAAGACTTGCTTCTGTTGCCATTTTAAACTGCAGAATCAAACCGAAGTGCTTATTACTTAGCACATCACTGTTGCAAGTTACTCTAAAAATTCTTGCATAGACCAAAAAAGATTCTAATTGGGCAGTGATTTAGAAAATACCCCCTTGGGAATATGATTTACTTAGATCCTTTGCAGATAACCTTGCCCTGACAGCTCTCACTCACTGATGATGCTCTATTACTGGCAAATAACACGTCTGTCTTGAATTATGTAGGAGAAGCAGCTTCAAATGACCACCAGAGTATATTTTCAGTATCTCCATTTTTTATTTGCATTAGGAAAATAATTTGTTGGGGAATGGTTATCAAGATAACCACAGCATCATTCTTCCTATGTGCAAATCAAAACAGCCTACTTTTTTTCTCATCATCTATTGATAAGGATGCAGATGTTCTGCCACTAGAAGCCTGCATTCTGAAAGTGATCACAGCCACTCCCGTACAACAAAGTCAGAAATCCTTCTTCTGTAAATAAGTGCCACCAGAAGAGGAAACACTATCAAACATTTGAACTATCATCATTTGTCATGTCAGCTGTTTTCACGTTATTTACAAGGAAACTGACTACTTGCGAGGCATAAGCATGAACCAGATCTCACATGAGCGTTAGAAATTAAACAGCTGAGTTTAAACTTTAGTATTAACACTCCTACATTTACTGTGTTCCCCCTCTGTTGAGGAAAAATATGAGTACATTTAAGTTTCATGCTAGCATTTTCCCAAACACCTTAGGAGTCATCCATATAGTGTAATAGTGAGAAAAACGATGCAGTAGAGTTTTTAAGGAAAATGAAACAAAGGACAGAAACTTAAAAGCAATACTAGTAATGCATTTTCCAATCTATGCAAAAAACATCGGGAGTGAAGAGTCTGTTGTAACACGGGCTTGCTGCAACCACAAGAAGGTGGTGTTATCTTTGACAACCATGGTCTTTTCCGGAAAGCAGAGCGGTTTGCGCCACGGAGCAGACCAGAGGACTCAGCTATCGCTGTGCAGAAAACAGCATAGGAAGCTTGGGGCTAGGTTTATTTACTACTGCAGACCGCTGGCAAGACCACCTGGAAAACGTTAATCTGAAAACCTGAGGCAGTCATTTAACCCTATTTAATTCATTTTGTGTTAAAACCAGGGGTTTTGCAATGGGTAAAACACACTGAATTCTCACTAAGAAAATTTACTGCAAGGTTCACAACGTCCCACATGAGTAACTATTTAATTTGCAGTCATGTAATGGTCTTGCAGATACTTGCAATAACGCTGGTTTTTTTTCTTTTCCAAATCCTTTATCTCTTCAAAAACTAAACTACGATCCCAAACACCACGCAAAATTTAAAGCCCCAGCAGATCAGGAGCAGACTTGTTTCATGTCTTGCTCATTCATTCTAAATTCAGACACTTGAACGTCCCCTCCTAATTACTGTCCCACCGCTGATTCTGAAGCAGCTTATTGTTGACAACGTCCCAGTATCAGCTCTTACCAGGTGGTGGTGGGCAGGGCCTTGTGGGTGTTCCTGTTTTAGGGGGCAACGCAGGAGGAACATCCTCATTTTTAGCTGGTGGTTCCTCAAATAAGTTCTTAGTTATGATCACGTTGTTGACAGAACCTGATGTGGAAGAGCTGAAGGGATCCTCGTTGTTGGCCTTCAACAAAGACAACAGCAACATACACATTTTCAGTGCAATTCTACTAACACTTCTCTTTTCAGTAATGCATTATTTATTTAGAACTGGAAGTTTGGACTAAGTCAGAAAGAAAATACTTTTTAAACATCATCCACACACTGCAGGAGACCGAAAATAACCACGAATGGTGAGCGTATACAGCCATATAAAGTTGAGTGCAGTCACACATGCAAAAGTAATACTTCTGCTGTTACACTCGGCACATTTAAAAACAAGTAATTAAAATATCACTTCAAACATACAGAAATACTTAGGAAGCCACAAAGATTGCATTGCATTTTTCACAATGGAATTGCAGGACCCTTTACTATGAAGATCACTTTTTCAAGGAAGTCAACCATTATAGATTTTCAGTAGAGGCAAAACTGAAGAAATTGGTGGTAGAGTAAGTTGTGTCTTGTCGCTAGAGTTTCATGCATTTTCCGAGTGCAGTAGTTTCATATTACCTTTGACAGCATGCTGAAGTCAGCAAAGCCACTTCCAAAGGATTCATTTCCAAACAGAGAGGTAAAGGGGTCCGTCGCTAAATACATACAAATCAAGCAAACAGAATTAAATTAGACGTTAAATAGGAAAGATGTGGAAAAAAGTCCCACAACATGAAGCAACTGTTACATATTTTGCAGCACAGACTAATTCAAGTGAAGTATTTTGAGGCAGGCACTTGAATATATTAAAGTAGCCTAAGTGTCAACTGCCAATTCAGAATAATAATTATCCTGAACAGGGAATAATTCAAAAAAACCACTGCTATTCTGATTTCCTACAATTAAAAAAGTTAAATTCCACTGAAACTGTCAAATAATCATACTAATGGATGTTCTGCAGAGATACGTGTATGCATACACCGAGGTTAGTTTCTGTGTGCCCACCCCCACAAATACACAGACATACAGAAGCACATGAACAAGAGCTCACGTCTGACTGTAGGCCCACGTGTGGAATCAAGTATGTAAACCTCCTATCACCTCAACCTAATTCAACAGTACTCTTTCATTCTTATGTGCCTCAAAATATGTAAAACCTGCTATTCTACTGTAATGCAAGAACTGCACTCTCTTTACCAATACTCACTTCTGAGCCTACAGAAATTTTTTTACAATTAAGCTGAAGAGGTTTACAAGACAAAGTCACACTTGGATTCGTGTTTTGGATTAGCACTTGTCAGGGCAACTTGGGAAAACAGCAGATTAGAGCCTTCCCTAAAAACATCTTAAGGCCTCAGATGAAGAAGGGTCATAGCAAAATGAAAGGAGCAAACTTTAACAGTAAAAATTCGTGATAAAGTAGTTATTTTATCCCACATCTCACGTAGCACAATGCTACTTTGTATGTTACTTTGAAGGTGACATGCAGTCGCTAAACCCAACCCTAATTGGCACCAGTATAAACCATTCAAAGAATCCAAACCCTCAGATCAGGGTATCTCAGCAGATTTAGGTAAGGCAGAGGAACATTTTTGAGGAAACAGTCCTCAGCGCTATGCACTGAAGGTAACAACAGTTTTATAAAAATACACACACACTCCCCTGCAAACTTGCACTTCATGTCATACTTTTCAGGAAAATTGAGAAAACGTAGGAAATCTCTAAAACGCTCCATCACAAATTCAGTTAAAAGACTGGAAACCCAAATAAGCAAAAGCAAATAAAAATAAACCCCAAAAGACTGATGTATATATTCTACTTTTACCGAGATCATTTGATGTAGTAACGGTTGTTCCACCAGGAGCAAAAGGGTCATTCTTCTTCGATATCTCTGTCTAAAATAAAAAAAAAAATCCATTGGAGGGAAATTTGTTTTTCAGCTTAAAGATTCCTCATTCTAAGAATACAATCACATTTTATTTTAGTTTAAAAGTTTTAAGCTAAAGTACTTTGGACATAGCTTTTATGGGCATCAATACACAAGCCGGGTAACAGAAACTCCTTCTCAGAACAGCGATTAATACTTTCAAAGGACAGAAAAAAGATACGATGTGCACAACATACTTGGTAACCACCAGCAAAAAAATGAGGAACATCTAACACTCGTTTTGGTCTCAGATTTCTACAATCAGAGCCATCCTCATGCAGATGTAACTAGAAAGGTGTGGTATAGCATTTAGGATAAATGCATAACTTCAGATAGGAAATACAGATCTCGCAAGAATCAACAGCTAATCCCACACCACAGCTCTGACCCTTTTTATTCCCCCTTCTGTACTTCTCTTATTATCAGACTGTAATATATGACCAAGATTTGGTTATATTAGAGTATTAAGACTTGGAAAAGGTGCTGATTAAGTACTGAAGATTGTAGAAAACGGATTTCTAAGGTTGGAGGTGTAGGCTGTGGTGTGTAGTATGACCTTCAGACCTGTATAACGTGCACACCACATGGAAGGGCACCACCACCACCGTTAAATGCAGCGATTCCTCCCCATCTTGGCTGTGTGGGTCCGCCTCAGGCATGCTGGCACAAGAGCAGGCGATC